AAAAATGGGTAAAATCGTCCAATATTTTCCAGAAAATAAATCCACAAATAACAAAATGTTGCCCGAACTCCAAATATGACAAACACAAAGCAATCCTCAAGTCAGGATGTCGCCATAGGGCTTGGAATTCTGACATTTTAAGGAATTCTCCCAAGAAACGCCCCCAAGCAAGTAAGTTACAGACACAATGATGGATCCAAACTGCTTGAATGAGGTTCAGTCTGGCTCCTGTGTTCTGGGACAGAAGTAGGAGGAACCTCACGGAACTCCACACTAGGCCCCACCAAGCCACACCACTTTTGCCTGGAGGAGGGGCCAGATTGGGCAATTCGTTTTTCTGTTGGTCCAAGGGATGTCCTGTGAGAGTCTCAGCCAATCCCTCCTCAGTCTCCACGTGAGCTCTAGGTGGGCGAGCACTAGCTGGAGAGCGTCGGGAACTGGTCTCCGTGAGTCTGGCTGGGGTCTTAGGGTATGGGTGCGGGTTGTCCGGGATACCCCAGTAATTAGATTTGGACCTCACAAAGTGCCGTCTCACCTCCTGGGTGGTGGCCTAGCAGGGTGCGGCGGAACCTTGGCGGGGGGTTCCCCTTCAGGGCAGGCGGGCTGGCGCCCCTTAAGGTAACAGCGGGAGGCCATTGAGTACGGGAGGCTCGCACCAGCCTCAGGGGTCCAATTTTAAACCAGATTTTCAGCTTTTCCAGTACTCAAATAATCCTCTCTGCACACGCTGCTTTCTTCTTCTGTCCTGGGGGATGGGGGGCGATCCTTTCGGGAGGATGAGGGTTTGGGACAGAACTGGCCCCACGTGGAAGGGACTTTCTGTATGGAGGGTCAATGGCCGGACCCCAGAATAGTCCACCCCTGGAGGATGTGGTCGCAGGTTTGGGTCAACCAGGGGGAAACGGTGCAACTGTGAGGGGCGGTGGAGGGTGGTTGTGGGGGAGGGGATCCTTAGTCCTGGTCGGCACCATTTCAAGATGGCCACAGGTGACGACTAACCACAAAGTCAACGGTAGGCGGTTCAAACCCACCAGCCGCTCCTCAGAAACCCTCTACAGGATCGCTATGAGCTGGAACCAACTCCACGACACTAAACATAGGGTTATGACCTTGCAGTTGGAAGTCCAGTGCTTACTCTTCCATGCCACATAGGAAACCCGGAACCCCTCTTACAGGGTCGCTATGAGTCGGAATAGACTCGATTGCACCCTTCCTGTCCCTTGAACAAAAACAGGTTGCTAAGACAGGGCTCTCAGGTTACAGCAAGGGGACAACACTTGCCTGGGGCCATGTGACTAGCTGGCCATGGGTCTAAACTACCTGCATGGTAAGGCAGCGCATCGGGTTTTTTTTTTTTTCTTTTTTTTGGAGCCCTGGTGGGTGCAGTAGGTAAGTGCTTGACTGTTGACGGAAACTTTGGAGGTTGGAACCCACCAGCCAATCCACGGAAGAAAGACGTGGCAATCGGCATCCATAAAAGATTACAGCCTTGGAAACGCAATGGGGCAGTTTTATTCTGCTCTTGGATTTCATCATGAATCAGAATCCACTTATGACAGTGGGCAGTGGGTGGTAGTGGATTTAGGATGAGTACTTGTGAAGAATCCAGAATATCATCTGCCAACCTTTGTTTTCCTTTCCAGCAAGGAGATCTGGTGTGGCACTATAGGACAATCGACCTTGAGGTCCAGTGCTTATCCCGCAGTGCCACACTACTTAAGGCTAAATGTACCTTCGGTTACTCAAGAATATTGTATGTGTTCCTTCGCCATTTCTTGGAGGCTCGTCTATATTAAAAAATCCCAAATCACTGGAATGAAATCGGGAGTGGGCTTGCAGTCATCATGAGGCTCTGGGCAGATGTTCTTTACTAGAAATCCTTGGACTTCTAGAGCAGAGCTGTCCAGTCGAACTTTCCATTTGTATGTTTGAGATGTGGCTAGTTTGAGGAACTGAATTTATCTTTTTAATTAAGTTAAAGTTTACTTTAAAAGTTGCCATGTGAGTCTTACGCCTATCAGGACAGCCCCATTCTAGAAGATCCATGAGGGTCCTAGAGATCATGTAAACTTTTTGAATTGTATGAATGTTTGTAGACTTGGCTAGGGATGTCTCTCTCAGAAGTGAGTCCACACCTTTTATCAGATTCTTACAACCACACAAAAGACTTCTGCTTTAGAGCTTTGGTGAAAGGTGAGGTAAGGAAGTAAGTACGCGTGCCCTCTTATAACAACTGCTTTTCTACTTACTTGTGTTTTCTGTCCTAGGCTGTAGGTGGCTCCTCAACTGTTAGATAAGTTCTAAGCTACTGGAAGGAAACGATGGCGATGGCTGTGACCCTGGGCTGTGCTATCCAGGCCTCCTTGAATCACGGTTCTGTGTTTAAAGAGTACGATACTGAGTCTGAAGTCTTCCGTCAAAGCTTCAGGCAATTCCAATATCGACAGGCGTCCGGGCCTCGTGAAGCTTTCAACAACCTCTGGGAGCTCTGTTCTCAGTGGTTGAAGCCGGCAGTGCGTTCTAAGGAAGAAATCTTGGAGCAGCTAGTGTTTGAGCAATTCCTCAGTATTCTGCCTACGGAGATAGAGACCTGGGTGAGACTCTACCGCCCAGAGAATAGAGAAAAGGTTCTGTCACTGGTAGAAGAATTACAGAAAGAGTTAGAGGGACCAGTGCAGCAGGTGAGAAAAGATGGTGGGTTCTCTGTCATTAGGAAAATAGTAGCAGAAGTAGCTGGGACTATTTCAGATGTTTGGTCTCAAGTCCTTTTCACTTTTTTCTTCTGCTGAACGCTGCGTGTGAGTCAGCTGATCTCAAGCATCAGACACATATCCCCTTAACCTTCTTGAAGTGAAATTCAGAGAAAATGTAACCTCTATAAATATATCAAAGTTTAAATATCCATATAATTTCTATGGTCTTAGAGCCTAATTCAGCCCTTGGCCTGTTTTTGTACCGCTATAAGGAGCTCTGGTAGCGTAGTGGTTACGAATCGGGCTGTGAACCTTAAGGTCAGCGGTTCGAAACTACCAGCCGCTCCGCGGGAGAAAGATGAGGCTTTCTACTCCCATAAAGATTTACACCCTCGGAAACCCTGTACAGGGTCGCTATGGGTCGGAACCGACTCGATGGCACTTAATAACAACAACAATAGGTAGTAATAGCTTTTAGCTGAAATCTAAAGCAACAGTTAAAGGAAACCAGTTCATTATAAGCTAATGGTGTTACTGTGAGTCAGAATTTATTTGAGAGCAACCACCACCACCACCAATAAGTATGTACATTTTGGGCTTGACTTCACCTGAAGGAAGCCATAATGAAGTTGTATCTGTGCTTGGGTCTCTACCTGAAATCACTGTGAATGCAATAGCCAGAAATTCAGGCTGATACAATTCAAATACTGTTGCTCTTGGTCATGTAATTTTTCCAGACAACTCTTGGTATATTTCTGAGAAAAAACATAGTACAGCTTCCCTTTGATTTTTCAAAGTCATACATTCCTAGAAAATTCAAATTTGGCTGAAAGTATAAAAAAATACTTTCTTGACAGGTTCTTTTTGTCTCTGTGGATGTCTGAAGGGAACGATTCAAAGTTATTTGGGTCATGAAACTATTCTACATTGTGAATATTATTCCCATCTCTGGCCCAATAGATGCCAATAGCCACCACCTGCCATCATATCCAAACGCCTCAGAAAAGTCAGGGATGGCACTGAGAAATTGTTCAGTACTCTGCTGAGAAGTCCCCCATGAAACCTCTGACTGTGGGGCCTCCAGGGTAAACGCAGGCCGGGATCTCTGGGAGAAGGCACTCAGTGTTTCTAGGTAGGCTTGAGGGGCACTGCAGTGTGTGTTGGTGGGCGCTGTAGTAGCTGTGAGCTTCCAGGTGGTTCTCCTCTCCAAACAGGGAGGGCTGACTTACAAAGTGTTCTGCTGCCCTACAATGGGTTCCCCACCTTTCTCTGTCTTCTGAGTTTAGTTTTTAACTAAGACTTCAGCTTTCTTCAGTCTAGTCCGCTGCTGCTGTGTGCCGTGGAGTCGATTCCGACTCGTAGCAACCCTGTACAGGGTTTCCGAGGCTGTAAATCTTTACAGGAGCAGAACACCTCATCTTTCTCCCACAGAACAGCTGGTAGTTTCGAACTGCTGACCTGGCAGTTCGCAGCCCGATTTGTAGCCATTAGGCTACCAGAGCCCCTTTTGGTCTAGTCTAGTACTTACCAGTACAGTAGCTTCCAACCACATGGCTCTTGAGCACTTGATATGTGTTCCAGTCCATACAGACATATGTGTAAGTGTAAAATGTACAGCAGAACCCAAAGACTTAGTATGAAAAAGTGAGCAAAATGCCTCACTAATAACTTATATTGATTATATGCTTAACTGATGACATTCTGATATGCTGTGTTAAGTGAAGCATGCTTTTGAGATTGGCCTCTGCAATTCCTTTCTATTGCTGTCCTGTGTCCACCAGAAAATGTAAAGTTACCTATGTGGCTCGAATTATGTTTCCACTGGGCAGTACTGGTCAGGATGTCTGTCTAAACCCCCAGGTACTGGCTTCTGTCTCATCCCCCAGGTCACAACGCAGGAAATTGTCTTGAAAGATGAGGCACCGGTGGAAACCCCATATATACTACCAGACATCAAACTGGAGTTACCTGAGCTCCATGTCCCGGAACCTCTCCCGGAGTTCCCACTGGCAGAGACACAGGACCTGAACGGTGTTGATTTTAAGGAATGCCCACTCTTTTCTGAGCCAAGTAAGGCTTATGTCCATTTGTTTGTTTGTTTCTGTTCTGCTAGATAGAGCACGTGCTCTCCTGGGTTGTGTTTGGGACTAGAAACATTGATTGTCCAATGGAAAGGGACCACGTTGAGAAAGAGGAAAAGGAGCAAATATCTCAAGGAATAGCAGGGAACAAAACAATTTAGAGAAAATGGGCTTAGGAACCCATTAAGCTAGTGAGCCTGCTTTGAAGATTTTTGTGTCAGGACTTTTTATACAGGGAAATGAGGTAGTCTGGGTAAGGATTAATTTCCGCCAGTAGATTTTGGCCATTGGGGTCTGATGTTGTGGATGCTGAGGGCATTGTCCTCACGTGTTTTTATGTAATAAGAGCTCAGACTTGGAATAATATATACTCTCCTCAGAACCTTTAAGGGACTTTATCACTTACAAAATAATGAAGAACAGACATACCTATATTAGGGAGCTCTGGTAGCATCGTAGTTACGAGTCGAATTGAAACTACCAGCAGTTCTGCTGGAGACAGATGAGGCTTTCTGCTCCCATAAAGATTTACAGCCTTGGAAACCCTATGCAGGGTCATTGAGCCGGAACCAGCTCCATGGCACACCATCACCACCGTAATCTATATTTTTAAACCCAAACCACTGGGAACACTGTTTCTTAAAATCAGTTTCCAGATCCCCTGGGGTGCATGTCCCACAAGCTCTCCAGGTAAGTGAGATGCATGCTAACATTTGAGAACCGCTGGCCCAGGCGCTACAGGACTAGTACTGGAAGGAGAACTTCTGTCCAGGTGGGGAAAGGCAGCTGTACTTCCTAGCTGGACTTCCATGTGTCACCTCCATGTGGGGTTTTCTTCCATTATTCACAGTGCTCTGTCCCCATACTCCCCTTCAAAGCACTGGCCCAAGTATGGACAAAAACCTCTCCCCAAGTCCCTCAGGCACAACTGCGGCAGTTTGGCCCTTTGAAGAGACTGTGAAATACTGAGAAAACAGTAAAAAAAAGTGAGTCAAAAACAGTCTGAATTACAAAACAGGTTATGAACCATGCAAAACTGCTAACACTCAGCAACCATGTCCCTTTTCACATCTTCATATTTAGTCATTCAACAAATGCATATGAAGGAAGGCTTTCTGGAGGGTGTGGGATTTGGTTTAAAATCTGGGAAGTTAACCTGGTGGGTGGCGGAGTGGGGGTGGGGGGAAGGTTTCTAGTAGAAGGGATGGGGTATGCAAAGGTTTTGAAGCACAGAGACTGTGTATATTTGAAGAATGGAGAGTGGGTCATGCAGGCTGCCGTACTTACCTAAGACTCTCCATCTCTCTGGCTTCCATTATGAGAGTCATCTGCCTCCCCTGATGCCTAACTGTTGAAGGGCACAGTGAATAGTCTCACCATTCAGGGGAGACACACTCCTCCCTCCACAGGGAAAGAGGGCTTTGGTCTCTCCATACCTGACAATTAGAGATTGAGTGGAAACCACAAGATGCTGGCAGAGTGAACGAAAAACATTTAACATAATAGAAGAAGTCAATTGATTGTCCATTCAAGTTTGCATTATATTCCCTGTCAGTAGAAAGTTAGGTTTCTATATATGTCATATATATAATGACTATACATGTATGTGTGTAAGGAACATGTGTTTATATATGAATGTGTGCATGTATATCTGAGTATATTCATAGCAAAAGTTTGGTGCCTGGATTCAGGCAGGCTTGGCTCCAGACCTACAGAACCCGTAGAAACACCAGACCAGCATTTAACCAGTCACCCTGTGGTCCTGACACTGAAACCAATTCCATCAAGGGCCTCCATGAACGACTTCCGGATTGAGGCACCGGGCTGTCCCATCTCTCCCACACCCACCTCGTGAACTCCTCGGTTTGTAGGAGTTTTCTCCCCTCCAGGTCCAACAGCTGCATTGTTTTTGTGTTTTTGTTTTGGGGTTTGTTTTTTTTCCTTTTGTTGTTTCCTTGTTTTTGTTGATTATTTCTCTTTTCGTTTGCTTGAATTCTATCTCCACTTTTGTTTTGTTTTTTCTTTTGTTTCTCATTTCCCCTCTTCTTTTTCCCCCCTTTGAAATGTCTTTACTACTCTCTATTCTCTTTTCATCTTCCCTCTCCCTGGTTTTACCAAAAGTTTCTTATTTTTAAATTCCTTCCTTTTATTTCCTTTCTTATTTTTCTCTTCTATGACTCCATTTTCATCTCCCTTGTTTCTCTTTTTAGTTACTCGTGGGGTTTTTAAAATTGCTTTTATTTTCTTTCATTTTTCTCTTCTGTAGTTCTATTTCCCTGTCTCTCTTTTGTCTTTATAGTTATTATATTCTTTTTTTCTGGTTGCTGCCCATTTTTCTCTTTATTATTTTCTCCTTTCATTGTTGGTTCCTTCTTTGTTTATTCTGTCTTGTTTTCGTGTGTGTGTGTGTGTGTGTGTGTGTGAGAGAGAGAGAGAGAGAGAGAGAGAGAGAGAGAGGGGTTCTCTTTCCCACCAAACGAAACAGCAACTGTACCCATACAGCCCAGCCACAACTGGACCCTCTGCAGCTCCACCCACTGGTCAAGAGCCAATACCAACTCCCATACCACCTGATCAATGATCAATACTAGCTAAACACACCCTAACTGAGGTGCATGAATGACTAATGGACGGAAAAGTGTACGTGCTCCGTCCTCTAACTATACCCACAGGGACAGTTGGTGAGAACCTAAAGGCTCATCTATCAGAAATTAAATACAAATGCAACAACACCACAATGCCTCTGAGACAGCAAACCAGTTTAACTCACACAAAGAATTGAAAAAATAAATTTAAAAATTAATTAATTAATTTTAAAAA